CCCCCCCCCCCCGCGGAATGGTGTTGTAACCATTTGCTAAGATGAAGACAAAACCAGCAATATAGTGCTTGATTTTGATCTTACTGGTGCAGCTTAACGATGTGCATTGGGCTTTGATGAGATCTTTGAGCAATTAAAATAAAGTTTACATGGGTGCTAAGAGTTGCAAAGGATCTATTTGCAGTCTGCAAAAAAGACTGTGGTCTCATTCTATGCTGCTAGCCATAACCTGTACCACAACTCAGTAACCTGAGTTGGGGAAAAAGACAGCTGCATATCAAAGCAGCAGGGTGATTACCAGATTTTACTCAGATAATTGAGGTTTTAGAGAACTGTGACCCTTTCCACTAGCACTGTTTTGCTCAGCATATATACTCTGGATCACAGCAGCCTCCTACTTCTGTCTGTACTGCTTGCAGCCTGACAAACCTGGCTGTTACATAAATTCTATATACTTCCGGCTGAGCCCTCAGTATTGCTGTAATACTGCACTAAAACATTTTCTGTTTCCATTATGAGTGTGTGGTTCTACTTCTGATCACTGGTATGGAAGCTATCGCATTTGTAGAGTGCTCCTCACTGACCCTTCACATGCCAGCTGCAGTCATCACCAGCCTCTAGAAGAGCACAGGGAATGCCAGTGAGAATACTAATGCGATGACAAATGTGGCTGTGTGGTATGCTGTTGATATCTGATTTCTTGCTGACCAGTAATTTTTTTTCACAATAAAAATGGAATTCTACCTTTTCATATTAATAATAATATAATTTCACATGCAGAAGTGGAGCAGACAGACTGCAGTAATAGTTCCTGGGTCATCTATGGTCTTATCATCATGGTAGCACTACTGTTTTTTGCGCTGATATGCTGCACTTTGTACATTGTCAATGTAAGTATGCTGTTACCATGCCAAAGCAAAACTGAATCTGGGTTGATTGAATAGGTGCCTTTGATATTATTTGTAAATAGTGACTGAGTCAAGCAAACATTTGATAAACCTAGGGAATCATGGCTTTCTGCTGTCTCCTCCTTGCCCTTGTTTAACATGTCCCAGCTGTAAACTCTTGGCAGTAAATACTGTGTCTTCTTACGTTTCTGTAGCTCTTTTAGTAAATGAGATATTGTTTGCCTTTGGATAACAAACCTCAAGTAAGCCTCACAGTCAACAACACAGACATGCATTGTATGTATTTCCCTGAACATAGCATCTCACTATTCTGTTTTCCTTCTTTTCTTTTTTTTTTTTTTTTCTTGGTCAATTGGGAATGGAGCTGTATATACCAATCTTGTAATAGATGTAAGAGAATGTTTGGAGGAGGACACAAGGACAATAAAAAGTCATAAAATAGCCTGATGTCTGAAAATAGCTGTAGGACAACAATTTTACCCTGTCCTAGAAAGAAAGGCAACCAAGAAATTTTTCCTTTACTGGGTTTATTAACATTTATAGTCTGCAGAAAGTGCCCAGAAATTATTCGTCTCTGATAGATCCTTCTGCTCCATAAAGATTATTAAAAATTAACAGAGTGTGATTGACAGGCCAGCCTCCTATCTCATGCCTCCACATAGGGCTTCAGTACTGCTAAAAAACAGTAGTACAATATCATTCTGGCAAAGCCAAGCGGCCCTGTGGGAACTGGTCTCTTGTTTTATCAGTAACAAACTAAGGGTAAGAATTATTTATGTTGGGACCACAGTCACATCCAACCCTTGAAGGAACTTTTAGTGAAATTACCTCAGACTGACAATAGAAAGTTAAATAAATAGGTTGACAATTTCCATCTAAGCCTTTAAGACCTCACTGGGTTATTAGAGGAATTTTAAAAGTACATTTCCACTTCAAACAGGTGGACTCCTAAGATGTAAATTGACTCCTTGGTCCGGGTCTTTTCAAGCTCTGTTCTGAATGGCTGTTTGCTTTGTTTTGCAGATAAAGAAGTATTTCTGGAAAAGAAAACCAAATGCTGTATATGAAGATATGTCTTACAGTTCTAGACGTAACACCTTGATCAGAAACAACATTTACACCACTGGCAATTAAGCTTCTGCCAGCTGGGACCGTGTGTAGATTGACCATTCCTTTACAGGTCTCTGAGAGCTGCCTTAGCAACCTGATGCAGTAGCTGACCTGAAAATACTATCATCTACTTTCTTCAATGGAAAGAAAAACCTGCCTCATTTCCAAAGCTGTTTCTGCTTTTTTGATTGCTTGTGAAATGTCTTTTTTTTAAAAAAAAAAATGTATAGAAAATGTAGAGAAATGCAAGTACCCTGCCCGTGTGTTTGCAATGTAGTGTGGAAAGTAGTATTTTTGGACTATACATTTGGCTAGATGCAACATATGGACTCATTTATTTGACTGATAAATAACCCTTTCAGGGAAGGTGTGATAGATTGAAAGGTCTGGTTCTGAGCTTTGATAAGTGCTCAGGAAGACTATAACAGGCCTGTTTAATAATATGCAAGGGATCCACATATGCATGGATTATTGTTCTCTTATGAATCCTTGTGGGTCTGCCCAAGAGCTTAAGTAGCTAAAACTACTCAAGAGTTACAACAAAGAAATCTCTTCTGAAGAGAATTGAGAAAATTTGTGGCAGAGAGCATTACAAGTGAAGTGCTAGGTATGTGTGGGCTTACCTATTCAAAGATCATTATGGCCCCACAAAAATGCAATCAAGTCTAGATTTTAAATTACTGCCTTTGTCAGGGATAATGGTTGCTGTGGGTCTTGATGTGGTTGACATGCAAAATGACTAGGCTTGGGGCATGATGGCTTTGCAGGACAGCAGAAATATTTGTGGCATGCTGATGTTGTCTCAAACTCCAGATGTCTCAGGACTACACAGCAGAATGCATTTCTCCAGGTCAATGAGTCTACACTGTACAGTACAAGGTAAACTAATCTGGAATAAAGCCAATGCTTGCATTCCAAACTGGGCACAGGTGAGTGATCCAAAATAACTCTTAACAAGGAAATTTATCAAAAAACTCACAGCAGTCAAGTAGAAATTAAATTTGGTTTGGTAGTGGCTTAGAACAGGTTTCTATGATGAGTTTACCTCTCCTCTAGCTAAGGAAGGGCTACAGCTTTCTCCAGGGGTGTTTTGGTTTTGCAGAGCTGGGTCCACTGTGGAAAGTCAACAATCTTGCACATCCAGAGGAATATCAAATTGCCCTGTTATGAGGTAGAATTGACGGGGTTGACTTGTGGTTTCTGGGAATAGGCTGAGACTAGAATTTTTCTTTATTGATGCATTAGTTTAGTTTTTGAGGAATTAGGGCTAATTTGCCGTTGATGAGAGTGCATAGCTGGAGTGGAAGCAGGCAGAGGGGATCCCCCCTCTCTGGAGGTGAGCTCTGCCGAGATCTCAGCTTGCCAAGCCAAGCCTGCCACTCAGGAGAGGCCATTTCCCTTCAAATGTCACTCATGAAATGCTGTGCACCAGACCTGAGGGAGAAATCTTCTCACTTGGGTGGCTGGTGGAGGGATGGGCTTACCTTGTAAGCAGAGAAGTGTCTGTTGATTGCAGACTCTGCAATCTTCACATAGCTGTACCTGAATAAACTTATGATTGTGGTTGGGGCTTTGTACAGTTGCTTGATATTTTTATACATGCATTAAAGACTACTTCATATATCTTGCAAATGAATGCTAGTTATTGAATGGACTGTTTCTTTTAGTGGTGGGGTTTTATTTAAATAGAGTGATTCAAAGGTTTCTTGCAAAATGCGGTATAACTTGCTCCAAACAGCACCTCAATAGACAACATAATAACTATTTTCCACTTTATTTACATAATGTACATGCGGGGTTTTTTTTTTTTCATTTTAAAACCCACCACTGAAGAAAATACCAAAGAACACTTCAGATGGTTTTATATTCATGCAGTCCTTTCATAGCAGCTGAGATAAAATTCCTGAAGACCTAAAATTGTCATAGAATTATAGAATCATAGAATCATTTAGGTTGGAAAA